CCCCTGGGTCAGGAGGATCCCCTGGTGAATGGATAAGCTATCCACTCCAGTATTCCTGGGCTTCTCTGGTGGCTTAGATGGTGAAGAATCCACCACCTGTGATGTGGGAGACCCAGGTTCCATCCCTGGGTTGGGAAGATCCCCTGGAGGAGGGCATGGCAACCTGCTCTAGCACTCTTGCCTGGAGAATCCCCATGGACAGAGGAGCATGGTGGGCTACAGTCCATGGGGTCACACAGAGTCGGACAGGACTGCGCGACGAGGCACAGCACAGCATAGTTGATTCACGTGTGTACAGCGGAAACCGATGCAACATTATAAAACAATTATTCTCCAATTAAAATAAAATTAATAGCATAGAAGCAATAAATAAAAAGAAAAAAGAGGTTGACAAGCTTCCAATTATGTAAACTACATCCTGAGTGCCTTGAAAGCCAGAAATGCCCAAGACATGGCCCCTGCTATTAAAGAGCTTCAATTACATGGAAAATAAAACCAGTGAACAAGGCATAAAACCACCCTTAGAAAACACTCACAGCTGTGGGATTAATAGGTGTGGGGGCATCCTGTGGCCTAGTGTACTGCCTCTGTCCACACATGTGATCCTGGACTCCTTTAAGCTTCAGCTTCCCACATAACAAAATACAGGATTGACCTAAATCCCTAATTCCCAACGTTGAGTATACATGAGAATTTTTAAAACTCCTCATCCCAGGAGATTCTGATTCTGTAGGTATGACTGGCAACTAAAATTCTCTATTCAAACAATGATTCTATATAGTTCTACTGACTATCAGCCTCTGTCCTGCCTCTGTGGATCTGTTTTCTTTTTGTCTTTCTTCCAATATTTTTATAAGTTCTCCATTTGAGCGACAAAGCAGTGATCATTTCATAGCCAGAGCACAGATGCTACTAAAAGAAAACTTTCCTTGAATCATTATAAATCCAGATTTCAGTTAAGTGTTTTTTTTTTTTTTCTTTTCTGTTGGCTTGTTTAAGTAGTACTGATAGTTACCTCATTTCTGGTGATTCAGAGTTTTATTTGTTTTGTATGTATATGTATGTATGTTTAGTCACTAAGTCGTCTCTGAGTCTTTTCGACCCCATCGACTGTAGCCCGTCAGGCTTCTCTGTCCATTGGATTTCCAGATAAGAATACCAGAGTGGGTTTGCCATTTCCTTCTCCAGGGGATCTTCCTGGACTAGGGATCGAATCTGTGTCCTCTTCATCGGCAGACAGGTTCTTTACCACTGAGCCACCTCGGAAACCCATATATGTATATATACTAGCTTTCTCTCTGGTTTTGATATTTTTGCTTCTAATTGAGAAAAAGTATTTGGGGAGAAAGATGAAAAATATGACAATGAAAGCTAAAATGTATAAGCATTTTAATCTATACATATTAATTTTCATATGCCTTACCCAATTTAATCAGGAAGTGTAGGGACTTCTGCTTTATTGATTACGCCAAAGCCTTTGACTGTGTAGATCACAACAAACTGTGGACAATGCTTCAAGAGATGGGAATACCAGACCACCTGACCTGCCTCCTGAGAAATCTGTATGTAGGTCAAGAAGCAACAGTTAGAACTGGACATAGAACAACAGACTGGTTCCAAATTGGGTAAGGAGTAAGTCAAGGCTGTATATTGTCACCCTGCTTATTTAACTTACATGCAAAGTGCATCGTGCGAAATGCCGAGTTGGATGAAGCACAATCTGGAATCAAGATTGCTGGGAGAAATATCAATAACCTCAGATATACAGATAACACCACCCTTATGGCAGAAATTGAAGAGGAATTGAAGAGAGTCTTGATGAAAGTGAAAGAGGAGAGTGAAAAACTGGTTTAAAACACAACATTAAAAAAACCAAGATCATGGCATCCAGTCCTGTCACTTCATGGCAAATAAATGGGGAAACAATGGAAATAGTGACAGATTTTATTTTCTTAGGCTCTAAAATCACTGCAAATGGTGACTTCAGCCATGAAATTAAAGGATACTTGCTCCTTGGAAGAAAAGCTATGGCTAACCTGGACAGCATATTAAAAAGCAGAGACATTACTTTGCCGACAAAGGTCTGTCTAGTCAAGGCTATATTTATTCCAGTAGTCATGTATGGATGTGAGAATTGAACTATAAAGAAAACTGAGCACCAAAGGATTGATGCTTTCAAACTGTGGTGTTGGAGAAGACTCTTGAGAGTCCCTTGGACTTCGAGGAAATCCAACCAGTCCATCCTAAAGGAAATCAGTCCTGCATATTTATTGTAAGGACTGATGCTGAAGACAAAACTCCAATACTTTGGCCACCTGATGCAAAGAAGTGACTCACTGGAAAAAACCCTGATGCTGGGAAAGATTGAAGGCAGGAAGAGAAGGGGAATGACAGAAGATGAGATGGTTGGATGGCATCACTGACTCGATGGACATGAGTTTGATTAAACTCCAGGAGTTGGTAATGGACAGGGACACCTGGCATGCTGCAGTACTTGGGGTCACAAAGAGTCGGACACAACTGAGCAACTGAACTGAACTGAACTGTAGGGACTTCGCTGGCAATCCAGTGGTTAAGAGTTTGCCTTCCGGTGCAGAGTCGTCCAATGCTTGGGGTGTGGGTTCAGTCACTGGTCAGGGGGTTAAGATCCCGCATGCCTCCAGGCCAAAAACCCAAAACATGCAAGGGAAACAATATTGTAACAAATTCAGTGACTGAACTTTTTCTCTAATTCTCCATTTGTTCTAGAGAACACAGGTTAGTAAAATTAAGCTTCTTTGGTTTTTGCAGGATATTAGTGTAATTCTCTTTCTCTAGTAATACAGATGTAGATCAGTAGGAAATGTACACTTTGCCCAAATCTTAAACTATCCAACTTCCTTCCCTACATAAAATTGCCTGATATTAATATTGTAAATTTCACATACTGTAGCGAAATGTTCTCATAAAAAGCATGAGAATTTTTTTTTTTACTATGATTGCCCTAATATTTACACCCTTGCATTTCACCCTATGGCAATATCCCCCTCTCTGCCTGCCTCAACTTCTCCGTTTGGATGTTCCTATAGCAAGTTCATCGGAGTTTCGTTCCTGTAAGTCTTACTGTGGTCACACAAGAACCTGTTTGATTGGCAGCATTAAACCAGATGCATGCTCTGTGGTTGGAGAGAACAAGGGACCTGGGAACCCTGCGCCATTTTGTTTCCTTGCTTTGATGGTGTCATCACAGCCTCCCAGGAGATCTGAAGTCCTACCAGCCACTGTCCTGACGCTGGAGCTCAGTCCAGAAACAGCTGTCCAGAGCTAATTTATCTCCTAATGCTACGGCACTGTTAATTTATAAATTACACTGGTAATTCGAGCTATTATTAATTTCAGATGGTGTAGGGCAAGCCTAATTAAAATATGACACCAATTGCCACACATATGTACCAAGGACCACCATTTAAAATTAATGGGAATATTAAGTGTGACACTAGTGTCCGAGATGCTCTGCACAGTAATTACAGCATCTAGCGGGGAAGATCTGACAAATGTAGGCTCATGGTGGGTGCAAATAAACAACGACAACATAAAAGGGCTCTTCATTTAAGCCTCTCCTCTTCGTTTCCTGCACCCTTCATCAGTTCAAGGTTAGTGCTCTTTCCCCTAAAGATGCTTAGGGAGCAGTGAGACAATTAAGGCCACTGTGACAATTAAGGACACTGTGCTTACTGGTGGGGACCATGTGTCTCTATGGGCTAATGTTGACTGTCTTCTCAGATTCTGGACTTTGGGGCCCTACTTGCTACTTTCAGCATGTTCTTGGCTCTTCCTGTGAATTGATTGACTCTTGCTTGCCTGCTGTGACAGATGCTATCCGCAGGTGGTACAGGCAGGAGAGCTCCTCTATGTGTATACTACAGGTTCCATAGGCAGAAGGACACCTGGGGGATGCTCAGGTTGGACTAGGTCTGGATGATGACAGACTTATCAAGACCCAGGAGTGCCAGCCACTCTGGGCAGGCAGTGGTCCTTCTGTGTATGAGAGCTATTGTCTTCTGTGTCATTGTCATCACCCCTGCTATTACCGTTATAAAAATGGTGATCTTAGTAACATCACAGAGCAAATATAAGCATTGTTTACATGTCATTATTGTTGTTCAGGCCCCCAGTTGTGTCTGACTCTTTGCGACCCCATGGACTGCAGCGCGCCAGGCCTCCCCGTCCATCACCAACTCCCGGAGTTTGCGCAAGTTCATGTCAATTGCATCAGTGATGCCATCCAGCCATCTCATCCTCTGATGCCCTCTTCTCCTTATTTACATACCACACACATAATTCTTTGTATGACATCAGTTTCTTTTTATTGTCATGTTTATTTTCTGCATCACAGATACAGGCAGCATTATGGAGAGGTTTTATGCCCTGGGGGAAGGACTGTGCCTCTTCCCTTCCCCTCAGAATGGGCCCCCCACACTGTGTTAACAGAGCCCTGATCCTCTGAGTCTGGACCTCCAGGAAAATCATAGGGTAACTGTATAGTGCTTTCAAAGAGGGTTTGAAAAGCCACAAGTGTGTAGTGCTTTCAAAGTGGGTTTCAAAGTGCTTTCTTGTAATCGGTTTATCATTTGTTCCTCCAGACATCCCAGTGTGCTCTGTGATGACCTAGAGGGGTGGGATGGGGGTGCCTATCTCAGACCCAGAGCCTGACTGCTTGATGAGATTGGGGGAGGGTGCACATTGACATTATTCATCACTTATTGAGGACCGGCAATTCTCCAGACTCTGTGCTTGGTCCAGATAGGAGCACAAGCATTGTACCTGGTCCACTGGGGAACTGAGGACAAGCTAGTGATATAAGAGGTAGAAGGGAGGCAGGCAGGAGAGCTGGAGTCCATCCTGAGAATCTGGACTGAGCATAAGCATTATGCTCTGTAGACATAACCACTCCACACTTGGTTTGCTAAGTTTGTGCCTTTGCTGTTTTTCTTCCTATTTCCTCACCCCTTCTCCTGCAGCTGTGGGCTTTGTGAGTGAGGACGAATATTTGGAAATCCAGGGCATCACCCGGGAGCAGTCAGGGGACTACGAGTGCAGTGCCTCCAACGACGTGGCGGCCCCAGTGGTGCGGAGAGTCAAGGTCACCGTGAACTGTGAGTGGTCTCAGGCGCCCCCACCCAGCACCTTCGGGAGGTGCTGCCTTCCTGGCCACAGAGGAAGCTGGACCACAGTGCCAGCCCTGACTCGGGGCAGGAAATGGTGCAGCCTCACTGGCCATTTTCTGCTTTCAAGAGCAACAATTCTAAGCTCTTAAAGAAAATAAATGGGAGCTGAAAGTAATTTTATATAATCCAAAACTTGACTTAGAGTCCTAAAAGATCATTACATCACATCCAATGCACAATTTATACAAGCTTGTCTTTGAATCCCAATTTTTACTCATAATGTCACCAAGCTTCTCATTCTCTGGACAGTCATCTCCTTAATAGGGAGCAAAAATAAAAAGCATGTGTATGGAAGAAGTGTTATAATTTATGTTTATGTATACTTATGTTATCTCATCCTCTTCTAATTATGTTGATGGACATGGTATACATTCACAATTGAACTATAAATAGATAGACATACACATATCTGATGTGAGAGGGTATATCTCATACCTGATTTTTGCTAATAGAGGTACTGAACCCCAAAAGCTGGAGGCCACTTCTCTGGACCCCTCCTCTTCCTTCACCATCCAAATTCTCTCTGACATCGATGCTGCTCAATGTCCCCGCGCCCTCATGCATTCTCTCTGGGTCCCTCATTAGGTACCCTGACTTGGGTCTCTAGGACATTTGGAAAGTTTTCCCAGATGTGCTAATTTCAGATGCTCTTAGGACAGAATAGAACCCAAGAGTTAAACCAGCAGACAAGGAGAGTTTCTCCTTCCAAACTTGGGTGAGGTTGGACATAGAGGAAGAATACCTTGGTTTGATATTTACTCCTTCTTTACTTTAATATGTTGGTTTCTGTTACAATTTGAACCTAATTAACACAAAGCCCTTGAAGAATCAAGGAAACAGGTGAAGCAATCGTGCCATTTTTGTACCCTACCACAATTTCCTTTTAAAGTGACATAATTTACAGTTAATAAAGATTAACCTAAAGAGTAAGGAGATGTAAGAGAAGGGAAAAACCTATGTAGAGAAATAAGAGAAATCTTTTGGTAAATCAGCACATGAAGTTTATAGCCTGAGGTGGTCAGATGTGGGTCCAGGATTTGGCTTCAAAGTACTAAAGCAAAGATAGGAAACATCATTTGGTTTGAGGTTTATGTCCATAAGATAAAAGTGAATTTGTTGCTTGGGAGAAGCACTGCTTTTTTCTGGTGCTGAGACTTGAAAAATAATTTCACTTTAAGGTCCCTATAAATAGAGCCCAACAAGCATCACTTGCAACAGTCATGCAGTGGTTGGCTGTGGCTCTTTTTCATGATGCATTTCAGTGCAACTGTCGGCATTGACAAGGGTGGTTTGGCAAAGACTTGGAATGAAAGCAGGCCGAATACTTAGGTAAAATTGTTCTGGCTGGATTCAAGCGTCCAGGGTAGAACACCTCCAAGAATGACGGATCTGTATATCCCCCAGGCAATTCTCCGTGACTGTTATTTCTTGCAACTGAGTTCTTGATGGGAATTGAATAGTTCAAGCTTATATACTCTGGCAAAAACCTGGCGTGCAGAAAATCTATAGGGCTAGATTAAAGGTACTGTCAAGCCATGGGGCATATGGTGGATGGGGTTGGCTATATCGTATGAAAGTGGAAAAGTTTAAACAGGAAATAGGCCTAAATGCCTGCTCATTCCACTGGTGTCCAGAGGAGAGCAGAGACAGTGCATGCGAGCCTTTCCTCGGTGATACGGGATGGCTTCATTCTCCAGCACTTCGTGGAGACCAGAGTTAGAGTGGGGCGTGGAAAACAGATCGAGGGAGGCATTTGAGATGCTGTCGAATGTCCTCTCTTTGTAGATCCTCCATACATTTCAGAAGCTAAGGGGACTGGCGTGCCTGTGGGACAGAAGGGGACCCTGCAGTGCGAAGCCTCCGCAGTTCCCTCAGCAGAATTCCAGTGGTACAAGGATGACAAAAGGTAAGACTCCCTCCCCCTCTCCCTCCCCCAAGAAGAAGGAAGCTCTTCCAGGTCCCTGGTTCCACAGGGACGCAAATGGATTCCTGCAAAGTCCTCTCTTGAACGCCTCCTGCCTGTGAAGGAGAAACAGTACCCAGACCAGTCTCTTCTTGATGTGGATGAACTTCAGCTGTGTTTGTAATGCCGCCATGCAGAACTATCACTCGCCAGTCAACGAGCCTAAGAAAAACTATTTCTTTAGGAAAATGGACTGTCAAAGGAAAGGCCACCAGGAGGCCTGGAAAGCCTGTGAATTTTTTATAGGCCTGGGAAATAATGTGTTCTGCCCGCTGCTATTTTTAACGCATTCTCAGGGTTGCATGAAGGCGCCAGGAGTGCTCCCGGCGCTGAGTCAGCCGTGGCTGAGGACTCTGGTTCCATTCCGGACACACTCAGTGGTGCGGGGACGTGTCCGTGACCCGACGTGGCCTCGCTGTGTGCAGAGCCTGTCCTCTCACGGCGGGAGAAAAGACAAGCGCCGCCCCGTCGCCTCCTGTTGTCGCAGCCGCCATCCGGATGTTTGCCCTGATTCACTGAGGTTTGTCGCCGCGAGGAGTTATCAAATGGCGCGTTAGCACAGGGTTCAGCAGCTCCGAAAGCCAGGCAATTACTGCCATCAAAGAGCTATTTTAAGGTGGATGAACAGCAGTTGATGGGCAAGAGCTGTCCACGGTCAGAACACAACTTGGTGAAAACAGGGAGGGGGCAATGCAGAGTCCTGAGGTGTATGTGGGGTACAGCAGGGGGAAGGAGCCTGAGAGCCTGAGAAGCCGAGGAAAAAGCAACAAAAAGGGCAACTTTAGGAAGGAGAGAGGGTGAGCAGCTCCAGGCCAAGACGCAGATTGAGAGCATCCCAGCTGCTGCCCGCAGGACTCAACATCCCCAGCTCCTGGAGTCCTTTACTTAAGAGGCCAGTGTTCACGGCAATGCTTGGTGCAGTAGCCAAGACATGGAAGCAACCTGTGTGCCCGCTGAGAGATGATGGACAAAGAAGATGTGGTGCGTATATACCATGGAATATTACTCAGCCATAAAACAGAGTGAAATAATGCCGTTTACAGCAACTTGGATGGACCTGGAGATTATCATAGTGAGTGAAGTGTAACAAAAAGACAAATACCATATACCATCACTTATATATGGAATCTAAAATATGGCAACTGAACTTATTTACAAGATAGAAACAAACTCATAGACATAGAAATCAAACGTGCTTACCACAGGGGGAAGGGAGGTAGAGAGATACATTAGGAGTTTGGGATTCACAGATACACACTACTGTTAGATGTATATAAAGGAGATAATCAACAAGGGAAGGGCCTGCTATATAATAGTACAGGGGACTATATTCAACATTTGAATAACCTATAAGGGGAGAGAATCTGCAAAAGAATATATATATATGTGTATATGTGTGTATGTATATATATATATACATACACACATATGTATATATATGAATGTATAACTGATTCACTTTGCAGTACACTTGAAGTTAACATGACACTGTAAATCAACTATTCTTCAATAAAATATAAAGTTAGGGACTTCCCTGGTGGTCCAGTGGTTAGGACTCTGCTTCCCTTGCAGGGCATGCAGAGTTGACCCCTAGTCTGGGAATTCAGATCCCACATGCCACGCAGGGCAGCCAAGAATTTTTTAAATTAATTTTTTTAAAAAAAGGCCAGTCAGCACCAAGAGCCCCTCTAGTCTCTGCATTAACCTCTGAACTTTGTTTACAACCAAGTCACCTAGTCAGAGGCTCGTTATAATCCTTCCAAGTGAGAAGCACTACTTTTTTGTTCTTAAGCACCAATTCTGGCAGCAACTTGGGTGCACTGTATTCATCTAGCCCATTTTGTAGATGCATGCACTGAGAAAGAATGAGTAAAAGCAGACTCAGAAAGAGATTAGAAGAAACAACTGGCTTTTCTCCTTTTGCCCAAGAATTCGTAATCAAGCAGAAGGGAATAGTATTTTCCCAATAAATAAATGTGGGTATCTTTCTTCAAAATCCTGCTTGCTTTCTCCATCTATTTTATCTTTTCTTTTATACTAAAAAGAAAACTGAAGCATGAAAGTCCAATATCAGAAAACATAGCAAAAAGCCAAAAATCTCCAGGGTAAATTCCTGAACTTTCAATGGGTTAGATCTTCAAGGAAGTTAATCAGCTACATCCTATCTTTCTAATCTTTGATGGGATGAAAATGCAAGCTAAATGTGGAGGAAACAAAATCTTAAAAGATGTGGAGGAAAGATTAGCCCTCAGGCAGAAGTGGCCAATGGTGGTCACACAAAGGGCGAGCTCAGGTCTGCACGGCCACTGTGCCCCGGGGACGGGGCCGTGGGCTTCACCCAGGACGGCAGAGCCCGACCGGCAGCATCTCCGTGGGCAGGGGGCTTTCGGAGCCCTGGGCTCAGGCAGCTCTGAGTCCTCTGTCTGAGCCCTTCTCGAGGCAGCTCCTTTTCTCTCCTTTAGTTCATTCCGCTCAGTTTTTCTATTTGCTCTTCATTTACTTATCCCCCACCCCATGTTCTCCCATTGAATGGAGGTGTCTGTCCTCCGGGCACCAGGATCTTGAAGAGCATCTCTGGTCTGAAGTCTTGTCGCTGCCTGTCCTTCCTGGACCCCTGGCAGGTCACTCCTCCAGGGAGGTCTCCCAGGGAAGATGGCCCCCACAAGGGGGAAGGCCAGCTCTGACCTAACTGACATTCCTGGGGAGATGAGCGGATTTCTGAGACCAATCAAAGGAGTCCTTGTGATGGGGATGCCATGGATCTAAAGGGAGAGGAAAGGAAACCCTCTCCTTAATAAGGACCACTCATCTGTAGGGACTCAAGTTGTTGAAAAGCATGAAGAAGCTGAAGCCTGGTAGTGATACTGAACTGGCCTCTGTACCCCGGCACCGAATTGAATCTCAGAGACAGAGTTTTCGGTGAAGAAGAGAATAGCTTTAACGCTTTGGCAGGAAAGGGGGACCACAGTGGGTTCATGCCCTCAAAACTTTGTGTCCCGACCTGGAGGGGATAATGGGGAGTTTTATAGTAATGGTTCAGAGAGGAGGGTGGGATCAGCTAGTGGACATTCTTCTGATTGGGGTGAGATAATCAGGGGTCAGCGTCATTAAACTTTTGTACTTGTGGGCAGTTTATAGTTAACTTTTCCTACATGGTGGTGGTTTCAACATCTGCTAAACAACTCAAGGATATTATATGTATCCCTTAAAGGGGAGAGGAGGGTATGGCAACCCACTCCAGTATTCTTGCCTGGAGAATCCCGTGGCCAGAGGAGCCTGGCAGGCTACAGTTCACGGGGTCATGGAGTTTGACACAACTGAAGCAACTTAGCACGCATTGTATCCCTTATCAGCCTCCCCAGGGCCTTAAAGGGGAACCAAGACCCTGTCCCAAGGCTGTTCCATTGCTTCTTGGCTGCTTCTCCCCGTCTGGCATGCCCTCCCTTCCCTAATTAGCAAGTGTTTGAACCTGCCCTTTGCAACTCAGGGAAGGTCTAGGAGGCTGAATGAAACCTATTTCCTACAAACTAGAAAACTGGGGATACAGAAAAGCTTTATGCACCAGAGCTCCACAGGGTCCTGCTCCGTTTCAGCACACCTGTCTCAGCACAGCTGTCTCAGTTTCAGACACCTCCATTCTCCCATTGCACAGAGGCGTCTGTCCTCTGTGGCACGGGGTAGTGTGTGACCACACACAGTGTCACCCCAGAAGCTGCAAAATGCTGCCGAATACCACTAGCCGCCCTGCTCTGCTTTTAGCTAAAGACATTTCAGAGCTGTCAGCAGAGCCTGCTTTCTGGGCAAGTGTCTCTCCCCACTGCAGAGCTGAAATCTAATTCACAGCTTGGTCCCCATGTGACGACTTCCTCCCCAGCCCAGGGATGGCGTCAGAATGGCAAAAGGGATCAATAAGTTTGAGGAACTCAGAGAAGCCTCCGGCAGGTGGGCTACAGAGCCTCCTACGGACAGCATCCCCTGCAGGACAGCAACAGAACAAGCCGGAGATAGAACAGTGGCTTCTGGCTGCACAGCCAGACACCTCATTCCTTTTGGACTGTGCTCACATTATAACAAAGTACGTGGACCTGGGCTGGTTCGCTGTCCCTCGCGTGGGAGAGAGAAAAGCCTCCAGATGAACATCTACAGAATGGAAAGCAACACATGTTCCCCCAGCCCTGCTCTGACTTCCCTGGAGACAGATGCTGGGTTGGGACAGAGGCTCGAATACTGCTCTTATCACAGCGGTCACACGTCTTGGCGATGGAGAGAACCGTCCATTTGTCCTGCAGAGTGGACACCTTCAGATGATGATACAGCAGCTGATGTCGCTGTCAAAACTGTCCTGTGGCCCAGGGACAGGAAGGAGTTTGCAGTGTCTCACTCCACAGAAATATATTATTTTGCATAACATTTTATGGTTTACAAAGCATTTTCTCATCATTATCCTGCCGGGCTTTATTTTCTATTTCTGCCCAGAATATTGTCTTTCTCGATTGGATGACTCCAGTACCAGCCATTTGCCTCAGTTTCTGCCCTGCAAACCCATTCCAACATGTGTCCACCTTGACATATTGTCCTGTCTACATGTCCTGCTCCAGCCATACCCTACACAGGCAGCTGAGCTTTGGGGATCAATCCCTGAAATCCTCCATTTAGAAGGATGGTTGTCCCCACTGGTGGTTATCTTTCCTGTAGCATAGACAGCTTCTGTGCAAGGAAGACAAATTATTTCAGGGAAACAAACAGTTTGGCTTAAAGCCTGTTCTCCGAAATAGGATATCCCAGCGGTTTTTACAGAGAAGAGCGCTGATCTCATGATTTCCATGCAGACATGCAGGTTCAATAGGAATTGCTCCTAACAGCCTCCAAAGGAGAATGAGGCCCCACCAACCACCGGAAACAGCTTTTCCTTTCCCTCTCTGCCTGCCCTGTAATAGTGTCCGCACTTCAAACAAGTGTGTCTGGCTGTCCTCCCCACCTCTCCCCCTGGCTTTTATCAGTGGCCCCCAGCTATTGTTCTGAGCCCTTGAGACACATTGAACTCCAAATCTGGGTAAGACAGCCATGGAGGTGGTCCTGGCCACATGAGGCCACACTCTCGGGCTTCTGTAATCCCTCCCAGGATGAGATGCTCTAATCTAGTGGAAAGATCACCCCTCCCAGGTCCATTAGGGTCCCCTAGTGTAAAAACAGCCCCTGATTCTTTTATCCTGATCACAGCCAAAGATAAATTACTGTCTGTAAAATGTCTCAAGTTCTTAAGGGACAGTTTTACTACCAGGTGCATGAAAAGCTTTGCTCTTTCAAACCCATCGGGTTTTTCTCCTGTTTGAAGACTAGGTTCTTCATTTTCATGGCTGCCATCATCATCACCATCATCATCTTCATCAATAACGTCAATTCTCCAGCACCTACTGCTCAGATCCTGTGGGGCTGAATGGCACACAGCTGGCGCATTGTATTTGTTGAAGGCACCTGCCTTCAGAGAACGTCAATAACTGCATAGAGAGATGAAGATCTGCATTGTGCCAAGCATGTCTCCGGGCACACACATAAAACAGAGAAATGTAATTACGTGCGTCATGGTGATGAACTTATTGTGTAGTTGAGTGGAAAAAAAAAATGGGATTATAGTGATGCCAGAAAGGGGGAAGAGGGAAGATCACTAATTCCAGAGTGTTTCTTCTTCCTTGTAAGGAAAAATACTTATAACCATCCCCTTTTTCCTCTCTCTTCGGTCTCTTGTTTGTCTCAGGCTGGTTGAAGGAAAGAAGGGGGTCAAAGTGGAAAACAGACCTTTCCTCTCAAAACTCATCTTCTTCAACGTCTCTGAACACGACTATGGGAACTACACGTGTGTGGCCTCCAACAAGCTGGGTCACACCAATGCCAGCATCACACTGTTCGGTGAGACGGAGCCCCAAGCTAGACAACAAGGAGTACAGTGTGGGGGAGGGGGGGAGTAGGGAAAGATGGGGGGCAAGAAAGAGAGTCAGGAGTAGTTAGGCGGGGGTGGGAGAGAAGGACAGGGATGAGGAGGGAGGGGGAGAGAGTGAAACAGCACAGGTGTGAAAGAAGACACCAGGTTTCATTCTGTACTAGAAGTCCTGACACTGCAGGAAAGGGTTTGGGGAATACTGAAGTGACATTGAACTTTCCCCCCAGTACCTCCTTAACTGACTGTGGGGATTGCAATTGGATCTAGTCATCAAGAACCCAGAGAGGAACATAAACTACTTCCATACATTTTCCCTGGATGAGTGTGAAATGTTACCATTTCTGAAACGTTGTCTGGTCCTCAGGATATGAGAAACTTCATTGCATTGATAAAAGTAGACTCATGGGCCTTGGGATCCTGAGTAATGTTAGTGTCAGAGGGAGAATTTTAACATAGCCAATGGGTGTGTCCCTGGTTCTCCATCTGTGTCCCAGGGTGTTGTCGGGCTGCATTAAGATATTATCTGTCCAACTGAGCCACCATCTCGACAGAAGTCGCATAGTCATTCATGCATTAATTCATTCAGTCACTATTTATTGAAGGACTACTGTGGGCAAGGCAAGGTGCGGTGCCTTCACTGCACCCCGGCAACTGGAAGGCTGCCAGAATCAAGGGAAGGAGGCAAGGAAACAAACTTAGATCCCCGGGTCTCATGCTTCTGTGGGGAGAACAGTCACACAGACCTGAGCCTGGATGCCCGAGAGCCATTCTGCAGCTCTGATGGGCTCCCTCCCCAGGAAGAAGCAAGCTGCCCACACAGCCCATGGGGCTCATTTCTGGTTGCTTTGTGGGGCGTTGAGGGTGGGGGGAGGCACATCCCTCCAGGCCCCAGTAGTACCTTAGCTTCGAATCCTTCGATTTGTTCCCCCATCTCCCATGTTAACAAGCACTCTCGAGTGTACTGGGGAGGGAAAAGTAAGAAAGCTAGCAGATCATTGGCAGGAGCCTAAACCCCTTTATTCTGAGAATTCACAGATAATCCCAGAGCTCCATAAAGAACCCCTCATCCCCTGCCCACCCTGCCACATCTCCTCCATGGCACCACGGACCCCGATCAGATCCAGACAGCCCACCTGTGCTCTTCCCCTGGTCCATCCAGATTTCCAAATTGCATTCCATCCCCCCTTTTACCCAACACATAAAATAAAGCCCAGCTTTATCCTCCAGGGCTGGGAGGGGGTAGGCTGCCCTTGATCCCAGGACTGGCAGACCAGAATGGGCAGAGCTGTGATTAGACTGATTGATGTGTCTGACGCCTCCCACCCAGGGACAGTCATCAGGGCCGCTCACGTTTGTCAGCCTTTTGGCTTTTTGGCAGGTGTCTGTCTGCATGAACAGAAGGGCCATGATTAGGAAGGGGCGGCCCCGCCTCCCCTTGCCTCCCAGATCCAAGGCTCTCCCCGCCCTGCTCCCACAGCCTTCCTCTTCCCTGTAAACAGTCTCCCTCCTCCTTTGACCCCTTTCCTCCTCCGAGTCAGATGCATGAAATGGTTTTGCAACTGACTTTATCACTGCTGTCTAATTCCCTGGCCTCGTCCCCTGAAGCCATCTAAGATGAGAAGAGAGAGAAAAAGCAAACTTTAAGAGTGAAATACCGGCATTTGTGACAAGCAATGCAGTGAAGCATGCGCCATAAATCTGCTCCTTTCCACAGACCCGTGTTTGGCAATTAAGACCTCTGCCCGCATCCCCGGCAGTCTGTCAACATCCCCTGCACCCCGTGTGTCATGTGGGACGGCCCTACAGTTGCCAGCTTTCTGGAGTCCAGGGGACTCTCTAAAAGCATGTATGGAAAAGTGATAGTATGGATTCAAGTAAGTTTAGAAAGACTCAGATCAAACAAAGATGAACTGGGTCCATGTGGGGATGTTCTTTAACACAGGAGGGCTCAGAGCCCTTGCATGCTAAATCTCTAAGAGGGAGAAACAGTTTGGAACATTTCCAAATTTAATCAAAGAGCAACCAGGTTTATAGCCTCATTTAAGAGAGCGTTTCTGAGAAGCCCGTCACAGCATCACCACCTGGGTGACGCCCAGTCCCATGGGGCTACGGAATCCCATTAACGTGCCACGCCTGCATTTCCACCCCTTTGGCTCACACTGCAGCTGGTCCACATAGCCCAGCCCCTCAACTCTTTATCAACACCCACTATCAATAAGGCCTCTTGACAAATATAAACGTGCCAGCGAGTTTTCTATGCCCTTTCGTGTGATCAGACCCATCAAGCCGACTTGGGAAAGTTAGAAAGCAGCCTTTGCTTTATGCAAATACACAACCTTTGTGATGAAATGCCTTCTCCTGTAGCATCCGAGAGCCAGCTAAATTAGCATCATTTTGCCACCAACCTGCTCGGAAGCTGCACACATGACCTGACGTTGAAAAGTGAGGGAAGCTGGTGCTGGTTAGATTCCTTCTGGGTCAATACCTTTGAGGTACTACAGCCAAACGGGGTAGGGGTGCTCCTTCCTAGCAGGAACCCTACCAGTAGGATTCTGAGAACCTGGTCCCTAAGGTTCCAAAGGCATCATGGGACCGGGAGAATTCAACCCCTGGGATCCTGAATCACAGAGATTCCTGGGGGTGGCGGGGGGGGCGGAGGCTAGATCCTGCCGTGGTGCTGGGAGGCCAGAAATCTCTGCACTTGGTCTCCCCAAGTGAACCAGTGGAGCTGTGGATGAGACACAGATCTCATCTGGAAAGAGGCTTTGGTCCTCTGCTTCTAAATCAGCACCCCAGCTCAGCACCCGCCCAGAGCCCGTGCTCCTGCGGGGGCTGAGAATGCATGGCCAGCCCCTCGCCTTCCAACCTCAGCATCCCGTGTGCACGCACCCAGCCCTTCACCGTTCCTCATCTGCATCTTGCCCCACCACCTCTGGTTTTTGTGTGTTCCTTTATTTCTCCATCCCTCCAGAAATGTTTGTGAAAAGCGGTATACAAACTATATATGATGGATATATAGCTACTGTATATAATATGTGTGTTTGTTTTCATTTTTCTCTCCTGTGTGTCCCTCACCCGATATAGAGCTAAGTGAGCCTACAAGCTCATCTTTGTTGCAAAGTCAGTATCCCCCCGGCCCCCTGCTTTATGGGTTCTCCCTTCCCCGCTTTCTCCCAGAGCCCCTGCCCCCTGCCCTGCTGTGTGTTCCCCGAGGCTCCTGTCTATCCAGCACCTAGTGGATGGCGGCAGGCGCGAAGTGGGTTACTGGGAGCCGATGAAACTCCAAGGACCCCCTTACTCTCTGCTCACATTGCCCACCTCTCCTGAAGGGCTGGGAAGGGAGAGGAAAAGAAATAACCCTATGCTCTCAAAGCCTGGAGGTCTGCATGGAGACAAAAGGCTCAGAGAGCGAGGCTTGGGGCAGCAGGCAGAGAAGTCCACCCACTGAATGCTTCTCATAGGAGCCCCAGTGACAGCTCCCACCCCCACCAGCCACAGAAGCAAACCCCCAGGGCAGGGAGTTTCGGAGGGTCCCTAAGCTGTCACAGAGCATTCATGGGGAGTATCTTCAGGGAGGAAGGTGGGCAGGTGCCCCTGCAAGGTCCTTGGAGTGGACGCCGCTGAGCTCCTGTCCAGAACCCGACTTCCACGGGTGCTGTGCACTTGGGCAGGTCAGGAAGTATCATTCAGACTCAATTTCCTCTTCTGGACCATAGAATTGACCACCCGCCTTACAATCTGAGAGTTGTTCTAGCCTTCACCTGAGAACACATAGTAAAAAGGCTTTGAAAACCACCAGGTGCATCTTGAACCATTGGAGCTCAGTCTCTGGTTACAGGGACCACCCCCCTACCCCTTATCATGATCCAGGGGTTCATGAACTCATTTCTCAAGCCCTCTCCCTAACTTCTTCCCACCTCTTCCATGCCAGCCCTCCCTAGTCTGTGATACCTGCATCTCTCGCCTCTTTTTACTCAGCCCCTCAAATTGTCTCAAGGTCCCTAGCCGAGTTAAAGTGATTCATTTAGGCCATGACTAAATGCTCAGAAGTGGGCCCAGGCTGAGTGGTAGAACTGGACGAATGCGCATGTGCTACCTTTTCCTGCTGAGGACAGTGCCGGCCCTCGGAGCGCCCCGCAGGAAAGTGGCTGTGACCACAGTGAAGAGAGGATCTTTCCCCACTTCCCGCCATCCTTCTCATCCCACCTAGCAGCCCCCCTCATCTTGTTCATCCATTCACATCTGGCCATGCAAGCAATCATCAGAGGGTGGCATTAGACTTGGGGAGGGGCAGACGGAAGAAATGAGCTATATGGGAAATTATTTGACAGACGAGGAGAAAGCTTTTATGGTGAGAAGATTCAGGGATGCAGTATTCACCTTAGTGATATAGAGTGCCATGGTGATGAGCCACAAACAGGAAAGTGAAACAGGACTAGAAAGAACGGAAGTCAGTGGAAGGCTCCAGGTTCAATTAGTGATTCAATGTATGCTTATTGAACCCCTGGCCAAGGCATATGCACAGATCTCGAAGAACGTTGGAAAAGTAGCAAAGGACATATGGTGAAAAGGACGTGTGAGAGGCTGGAGGTAGGGCAGAGGACAACTTGCAAGGGACTTTGAGTGACTTAGAGTGACTCAGCTCATTGTGATCACTGATGTCTGTATTCTCAGCTGGAAAGGGAGATTTTAAACCAGGGATTGGTTGCTAAGGAGTTAGAACTCCACTGCAGGTGCACCCCAGGGATGAAGGGAGCACGTCCCACATTGAAGCCAACAGTAACAAAACCGACCAGAAGCAAACAAATCCCTGCCTGGTTCTGAGCAGGGGACTGGGAGCAGAGGCTCCACCTGCTGACTCAGAGCTGAGCATCCTCACCCCCGCTCTGTGCTCTGTGATCCGCTGTGAAGGTGGGGCAGGGTCTCCATGCCAGCTCTCTTCTCTACGTTGCTCCCATCCCATCGCCCTTCTCGTTGGGTGCAGGGCAATGGGTCAAGGCCAGTGTTGTAGATGGTAGAATCCTGGAACATTCCAAGACTTGGATTAGTGTGGTCTTCAGTGTAGCTGTCAGACTCTTGTACACTAAGGGCTGTATTAGAGAAAAAAGACCATGCCCTTGGGGCCTTTATCTTATGCATTGCTCTCTCTGTGTGTGTATGTGTTGCTTTTCCCTCCTGCATGGCCAGCCTACCCAGGAACAGAGAGCTGCCTCATTTCTCTGGAATACAGCCAGGTTATGCTCCTCTCATCTAGAAGGATTTCCACCCATGAGGAACACTTAGCTTTAAAAGACATTCCAAGCCATTTTGTTACTCAGTTTCCGAATGGTCCAGAAGGATCCAGAAAAGAGAATTTCGTTCCTTCTCAGCATTTTCTGCCACCCAGACGTATTTCTCTGCTCCCCCCCTCGCAAACGCAGTGGACTGCATGTCCCCCTCTTGCGTTAACATGTAGTGCTGCCATGACTGCTGCAGGACTCCTGCCAGTCCTTAGACTGGTGGACCCGCTACCATCCCTCATGCCCTCCCTCATAGGCAAGTGTGCCGGGGACGCACTCAGCGGCTCGGTGGCTGTTCATTTCCCATCCCTGGTCCGTGGTCTTTTCTCTCCTGGGCGAGGAGTCAGATTTGATGGTATCAGTGGTCTGGGGAAGGTCGGCTGATTCATGCCGGCCGAACCTCGCAGTGACCCTCAAATCATCTTAATAGAGAATGGGGGAGCAAGTCAACTCTGTGCATCAGAAGAAACAGTTGCAATGGCAGAGAGGATCTATTCTTCCCTGCTGAGGATGAGAGAGAGCTCATTAAACCCAGTCTTCCCAGCAGTTAGCATTTCTATGGCACATGTCTAAATACAGAAGGTACCGAACTAAAATCCCCTCGCCCTATTTCTGGAGCGTTTGTGTATCCTATGTATCCATTCTGGCATGAATCCAGCCCTCTTCTGCTCACTAGTACAGACAGCAGCCCTGTGCTCACCTAAGAACTTGGATTCAGCTGGGTTTGGTGGCAGAAAGATAGTGTTATGGATTGACCCTTGACTTCTCTGAGTTGCCACTTTGATCTTTGATTATTGATCTGCCCACAGCCTTTTCCAGAGTAGATTCTTGGGGCAGCTAATGTCCGGTTGGATCAAGAGTTGTATCATGTCTCAGGTGCCTTTAAAGAGCAGACTGAGAGTTTGAATACATGGGGACACACTCAGGTGATTTTGGTCAAATGTTCTGGTTGAGTCTAGATGGAGTCATCTCTAGGTTATCCTTCCTTCTATATGCAAGGATCTTTGCACGGAGAATTCTATCACTTCGATGCAGAGGCTTTAATATCATTTTCTTTTTCTCAGTTTTATTTTCCCTTATTTCAAGTGTAATGGATGAGTAAAATTGTAAGATATTTATTTATTTATTTTTCATTTATTTTTATTAATTGGAGGCTAATTACTTTACAATATTGTACTGGTTTCTGTGCACCATGGTGATTAGATACCTATACACACTGTGGAGGCCTTCCCAGGCGATGCTAGCAGTAAAGAACTGCCTGCCAATACAGGAGACATAAGAGATGAAGGTTCAACCTCTGGGTTGGGAAGATCCCCTGGAGAAGAAAATGGCACCCCACTCCAGTATTCTTGCCTGGGAAATCCCACGGACCGAGGAGCCTGGTGGGATACAGTCTATGGTGTCACAAAGAGTCGGACATGACTGGAGTGACTTAGCACGCACACATACACATACCCTGTGGAAGGATTTCCCATCCTCTGTATCCAGGGTGAACGCATGCAGAGGCCCCCAGCTAACGAGGAAAGACGAGAGGTCAGCCTGCTTCTGGCCAGTCAGTAGGATAGGCTCTATGCATTGTCCCAAGAACCTGGACTGGTGAATGGAGGTCTTTCCTGGTCCAGCCAGCAGAGGGGAGCTGATGCCCAGCATTTTCCCAGGCAGGTCCCAGCAGCAGGGATGCAGGTCTTACTGCCTTGGATCACCCCAGAGAGAGGAAGCCCTCGGGGCCAGCTGGTTATAGTCTGACTCATCAAGAGAGGTCAGGTATCAAAGGTCTGCCCTCCTCCAGTACACAGAACCTCGCTCACTAATATCTCAAAGACGCGTAGATGAATGCCGGTTAACTTTACAGATCAAACAGAGCATGGGCACCTGCATTCATGTTACTGCAGGAGGGCCTAGGCTTTAGTTTTATAATAAAGCCTGTAGACTTCAGGGCTTCCCTGGTGACTCAGAGGATAAAGAATCCACCTGCAATGCAGGAGACCCAGGTTCAACCCCTGGGTTGGGAAGATCCTGGAGGAGGGCACAGCAACCCACTCCAGTACTCTTGCTTGGAAAATCCCATGGACACAGGAGCCTGGCAGGCTATAGTCCATGGGATCGCAGAGAGTCAAACACAGTCAAGTGACTAACACTTCAACTTCTACTTCTGCAGACTTCAACCAATTAGAGGATAGTCTGGTGGCTAAAGAAAAAAGGTTGTTCTACAGAGAAGTGTTTATTGGCTTGGGGGCTCAGGCTCCAGGGTACCAGCTTCCCCAGCCAAGACACGCGGGGATGTTGGATCTCTGAGTCAGAGATCCAATGTGAGCATCCTGCCCCAAGCCCCACGCAACCTATGCCAACTGACTTCCCAGCACAGAGGAGGGGCACGTGTCCAAGGGCTGGGCTGTGGCCAGGACAGTATGGGGTCTGGGCCGGTTCAGCCTCCTTCCCCCAAACCATCGGAGGGTAAATTAAATGTCTCTGGCTGCTTTCTGCCTTAACAGTGGCTTGTTTTTCATTTCTTTTAGAAGTGAAAACCACAACTCTGCCCCCTGGGAAAGGTTGGTATGTTTACTTTCCAGGCAGCTGCTGCCTTGTGCTGGGGGGCGCAAGACTTATCACCTTCTTGCAAGATGCATTCTCTTCTGCGCTAACCCCAGGAGGCAGCCCGGTGGGGACCGCCTGACCTCGGGCCGGCCCTGTGTCAATTCAGATTAACTGTCCCCAAGGACATCGATTCTCCCCGGGTGCCTCCCCTGCAAAGTCTAACTTGTCTTTGCTGGCAGCACTAATGGGGACCTGTCAGTGCCCAGAATAGCTCCACGTCTGGGCCCTTCTGTAGCAGGCCCGCCTCTTTCTTTGCACACGATGCTCTAATGCGATGATCTTCTTGGACCTTGGCCTTGCATGCTGGCCTCTGCTTACCCCATTCTCTCTTTTTCTAACTTGGAGCTGGAAGGGAAGTGGCAGGAGGAAGGGGTCAGGGGAAGGAAGGGGGCGGTTCTTGGGTGAGTCACTTGGCTACGAATAAAAATTCATCTTGTTCGGGGGCTTTCATTCTGTCCAGATGTTTCCGATGGATAATTGACACTCGTCACAGCTCTCCGGGACCCTGACGGTCCTGGTAATTAGTCTCTTCAGGCCTCCAGAGCTCGATAATGAGACTGAGGCAATAAGGCCTTCCAGGCTGAGTTGAGGCGCTACTGGATGGAGCACACAGACCTCCTGTGTGGCTGCATCGCCGAGCAGATGGGCTGAGCTGTTCCTCTGGCCAGCTCGGGTTCTGAGAGGGCCTCGCGGCCGGGGCCTGGGATCCACACCTGCCTGGACAGCAGGTCCTCCTCTCGTGGGCATCCTCCTGTGCCAATCAGTGTGGGCGGGCCTGGGGTCCCCAGCTTGACCAGTACCCGGGCCGGGCAGGCCCTGCAGCCCCACTCTCTGCTCCCTTCCTCTCTGGAGATGTGAGCGACCCGCAAAGCCACAGCTCTGAGCCCGTGAAAAGAAAACTGTATTTGGAGACAGAAAGCAAGGGACCCTGTGGACATCACTTAAGGTCTCCAAGAGTGAGTTTCCACACATTAGAGCAGGAGATAACAGCCTTCATCTCCTACACGAGGGACTTCAAGGGGCCAGAACCCATTTCCAGGTGCAAACACTCCACCTGGAATCCTAACCAATATGGCCTTACCTCTGGGTATATCTTCCCTCAACCGCGTGAATTTTCAGTGACTTGTATTGGGAATTGTAAGAAAAGTGGGGGAAGGGTGTTTGAAAGACGGCAAAGCAGGAGAAGAATGTTTTGCTTTGTTTTCAGTTTGGTTTGTACTTTTCTTTTTCAAGTAGAACCTTAAGAAACCTTAAGAAAAAGAAAAATACAGACACAAAGTAGGTATAGACACGTCAGCATGAGTCACTGTTCTGGCCCCTTCCTTCCTTCAACTAATGTTTGTTAAGTACCTGCCAAGGGCCCAGCTGGGCACAGATCCTGCCCTTATGGAACTCAGAACATGGAGGAGGAGACACATGTGAGACACACGAAGGAAACTGTAGGATGAGTGTGTATTTTAATAGTGGGATGTGTATGGTGTGGTAGAAGGAAACAAAGCAAGTCAAGGAAGGCTGCCTGGAAGAGGTGGCTGAGGCCAGAACAGAACTTGGAACAAGAAGTAGGAGCAAATCTAGTGAAGAGCGTTTCAGGCAGAAGATGTGATATAGGCTGGAAGGTGCAAACGTATGTGTGTTGCTGGTATTGTGTGGAGTAGGAGCAGGGAGAGCCTGAGGCACATGTGTCCAAGAGTGGGGCTAAGGAGTCAGAGGGCAATCCTCTGAGTGTTCTACGGAGCAGCTGAGACGTTTCCTAAAGGCCAAAGGTATCTAATCCATTAGTGGTCTGGTCAGCTTAGAGTCACAGAAACGTCGGCCTGGGGTTGGCATAAGGAGTCAACCCAGAAAGTCCAGGGTGGGTAGTGGACAGCTGGTGTTTGGACTCTGAGAGGATGTGAGGAGACCCCCGCCTCAGGTTTCTGCAGAAATCACCGCTGTTTCCTTCTCCAGGGCAGCTGTGTCCAGAGGGATGCCGGGTGGGGAGCAGGAAGGGGTGGGGAGGCAAGGTCCTGCTGGACGTGGTGGTGTCCAGGGGAGTGCCAGCCCCACGGACACGCCTGGGAGAGGAGGGCAGCTACAGAACTTCATACTCCGAGTGCCCTCCCCGCCGCCTCATACCCAGCAGGCATTTCCTTTCCTCTCTGGGAGGCGTTCTCTGATTCGGGGGATCAGGGCCCTCCCCACAGGCTTCCTGAGTGCATCCCCGTAGGCAGCAGAGCACCCAGGAGCCCCAGGGGGGCAGGAAGAGTCAGAACACAACACGCACCCCAGATACCTGCCACACCACTGCCATTGCCAGGTGCCCGGCATGTTTGCCAACTCCCAGCCGCCTCCCGCGGGGTGCTGCAGACTCCCTAGCCAGCAGACAAGGTTTCTGACTTTTCTTGCCTGGCCAGGTCCCTGCTGGGCTGTCTGCCTGGCATGCGCATCCTCCATCCACCTCCCTGGAGATGTGCGGTCCCTGTAGCCCAGAGGAGTGGAGGGCGGCAGGGACAGAGAATGTCTCCATGCAGGAACTGGCATCATCCCCTTTCTCCTACCAGGCGCTGGAACAGGAGGGTCACGCTGGGGTGAGTGGGAAGTGAGTTTCAAAGCTGTGTGAGCTAGTGTTCAGGAGAGAAAGGAGGTGAGAGAGGAAGGGAGCCCTGTGTGAATAGATACCTGTGTGTCCGGACATGTGAGCAAAGTGAGCAGAACACACTTGGAATCACAGGCAGCGTGCCAGGGGAAGGGGTGTGCAGCCACCAACCCTCCCATCACACTTGGAACCTGGCTCTCAGGGACCCAGAACAAACTCCCCATCTCAGAGCTGGCCTCTAGCAAAGATAGGCCTTCTATGCCAAGAATCTTGGGGTGTCCCAGAGTGGAAGAGCATCCCCTCTGGGGGCAGCTTCTCTCCTGAGATTCCAAGGACTGCTGTATAGAGTCAGCAGTGATTGAACATAAGAACTGGGGTTTCTGGTGATGATTTGTATAGAAACAGGAGTTAGATTTTAGAAGATGCAACCAATTTGTGATCAATGGTCAAGTATAAGCAAATCTGAAATTGAATTACAAGTCATCCGGAGCTTTGGAAGTTCGCAGGGGTGCCCCTTTTTCATGGGTATGCGGTGGACTGGGAGAGGGAGGATGTTAAGCTTTGTGTCACCCAGACATTCACCTCCCTGGTGGGGAGCAGAGGAGTTGTCTCTTGTCCTTCTCCTCAGGAGAACTTGCACTGCCAAGGAGTTCTGGCCTCAGGAGCACTGCAGTTGGGGAGGAAGAAAATTTCCTGTATCCTTCTAGGTACTTCTGGATGGCTTAAGAATTAAATTGACATGGAATAGAGTAACAGGAGACAATAAAATACAAATTTAATAATACATATATACATGAACGGAGAAGGAAATGGCAACCTACTCCAGTTCTCTTGCCTGCAGAGTCCCAGGGACAGAGGAGCCTGGTAGGCTGCAGTCCACGGGGTCACGAAGAGTTGGACACAACTGAGCGACTTCACTTTCACTCTTCACTTTCACGCATTGGAGAAGGAAATGGAAACCCACTCCAGTGTTCTTGCCTGGAGAATCCCAGGGATGGCAGAGCCTGGTGGGCTGCCGTCTATGAGGTTGCAGAGAGTCGGACACGACTGAAGCGACTTAGCAACAGCAGCAGCAGCATATGCATGAAAGGGGTTTCCCTGGTGGCTCGGTGGTAAAGAATCCGCCTGCATTGCAGGAGACAGAGGAGATTCAGGTGTGATTCCTGGATCAAGAAGATCCCCTGGAGGAAGACATGGAAACACACTCCAGTATTCGTGCCTGGAGAATCCCTGTGGACCGAGGAGCCTGGTGGGCTACTGTCTATGGGGTTACAAAGAGGCAGACACAACTGAGGGACTGAGCTCACACGTACATGGGAGAGACAAGGAAAACCGATGCACTCACCAAAATGTCCCCAACCTTCATCTTAAATACCGTCTTCAGCTAAAGACAGAAGGGGATGCTGGGGACAGGGGGTTAGGACTTCAAACGGAGAGGAGGCATTTCACATCGAGATGGAAATGTTGCTGTGTGGTGGCAGTTATTGGTGGGTAGGCAGAGATGGACACGGAGGGAAGGATAACAGAGAGATTCTGCACGCTACTTCCTGTCAACACAGCCAGTTCACACTGTGTTTATCTGTGGTGACAGCTCCCTTCCTGGGACAGGTCCTCCTTCTACATTCTTTACCCGGTCAGGTGTTGTTTTTGTTCAGTCGCTCAGTCTTGTCTGACTTTTTGCAACGCCATGGACTGCAGCATACCAGGCTTCTCTGTCCTTCACCACCTCCCAGAGTTTGCTCAAACTCATGTCCATTGAGTCAGTGATGCCATCCAACCATCTCATCCTCTGTCATCCCCTTCTTCTCCTGCCCTCAGTCTTTCCCAGCATCAGGGTCTTTTCCAATGATTCGGCTCTTCACATGAGGTGGCCAAAGTATTGGAGCTTCAGCTTTAGCTTCAGTCTTTCCAATGAATATTCATGGTTGATTTCCTTTAGGATGGACTGGTTTCATCTCCTTGCAGTCCAAGGAACTCTCAAGAGTCCTCACCAACACCACAGTTCAAAAGCATCAATTCTTTGACGCTCAGTCTTTTTTATGGTCTAACTCTCTCATCCGTATCAGTTCAGTCGCTCAGTCGTGTCCAACTCTTTGGGAGCCTGTGAGCCGCAGCATGCCAGGCCTCCCTGTCCATTACCAACTCCTGGAGTCCACCCAAACCCATGTCTATCGAGTCGATGATGCCATCCATCTCATCCTCTGTGGTCCCCTTCTCCTCCTGCCCTCAGTCTTTCCCAGCATCAGGGTCTTTTCCAATGAGTCAGCTCTCCGCATCAGGTGGCCAAAGTATTGGAGTTTCAGCTTCAACATCAGTCCTTCCAATGAACACCCAGGAATGATCTCTTTTAGGATGGACTGGTTGGATCTCCTTGCAGTCCAAGGGACTCTCAAGAGTCTTCTCCAATGCCACAGTTCAATTCAAAAGCCATCAATTCTTTGGTGCTCAGCTTTCTTTATAGTCCAACTCTCACATCCATAGATGATCACTGGAAAAACCATAGCCTTGACTAGATGGATCTTTGTTGGCAATGTAATGTCTCTGCTTTTTAATATGGTGTCTAGGTTGGCCATAACTTTCCTTCCAAGGAGTAAGTGTCTTTTAATTTCATGGCTGCAATCACCATCTGCAGTGATTTTGGAGTCCAGAAAGATAAAGTCAGCCACTGTTTCCACTGTTTCCCCATCTATCTGCCATGAAGTGATGGGACCAGATGCCTTGATCTTAGTTTTCTGAATGTTAAGCTTTAAGGCAACATTTTTACTCTCCTCTTTCACTTTCATCAAGAGGCTCTTTAGTTCTTCTTCACTTTCTGCCGTAAGGATCGTGTCATCTGCATATCTGAGGTTATTGATATTTCTCCTGGCAATCTTGATTCCAGCTTGTGCTTCCTCCAGCCCAGGGTTTCTCATGATGTACTCTGCATTTAAGTTAAATAAGCAGGGTGACAATATACAACCTTGATGTACTCCTTTTCCTATTTGGAACCAGTCTGTGTTCCACATCTGTATATGACTAATGGAAAAACCATAGCTTATACCATGCAGACCTTTGTCGGCAAAATGATGTCTCTGCTTTCTAATATGCTGTCCAGGTTTGTCATAGCTTTTCTTCCAAGGAAGATCAAAGCTTCTTCCTCAGTCTTGAGCTTTTACCATTCTCAACTCAAAATAATCTGTGTGCCAAAGAGACACTTTGGGGTGGCGACTCACCGCCCTTCATTGAGAAGCAGCACCAGAGACCCGGAGGCTGGATGACCTGGTGCATATCAGACTCATAACTGTTCAGGGGTAGGCTTAGATTAGAACAAGGGCTTTGTTCCAAAGGTCTAAGAAAGAAATATGGGCATTGCTTCCAGGCTAGGAGTTCTAAGACTTGAGAACATAATTCCATATGGCATTAGGGAGCCTGGCTTGATGGTAAACTGTAGTAGCCAGAAATATCTCCGGGTCCAGCGTCTGAGTCAGGCAAGCAGGTATGGCTTTGTCCCTTCAACCTAGTGAGGATGTGGAATTAGCGAGGTCACCAGCTTCAAATGCCTCTGCTAAGTCCAGTGATAGCATCACTGACTCGACGGACATGAATTTGAGCAAAGTCCAGGGAGACAGTGAAGGACAGAGGACACTGATGTGCTGCAGCCCATGGGGTGGCAAGAATTGGACATGACTGAGCAACTGAACAGCAACAACATAGTCCCGTGCGACAGAGGCTGCCTGAGCAAGTGTGGTCTGAGAAGATGCCTTGCTTCATTAGGCGCCTAATTCATCCAGGCATCCAAACGTGTGTACTGTTCATGAATCCTAACTACATTTGTCATTGGAGTTCACGGCCATGGGGCTCAGGGAGCCGGAAAGCTTAAATGATAGGGAAGCTGCTGGGGAGTGTTATGACCTCATAGTTACCTTGCCTCCTGAATTTGGCTCCATCTCCAAGAGTATCTGTGTGCAGGCCAGGCCGCTGTGTGGCTCTTAGAGAAAGGCGCCATCCATCTCCCCTCGACAGACACATGCCATGGCACGCTCTGCATCCCACTGTCCCTGTAAATCCTCCCATGTGCACGGCCAGAGGCCACCTGTCTCTTGGCTTGATCCCACCTCATGGCAGCTGGGTTTGACCTTCTGAGCCTGTGGAACTTGAAGGAGGTCTGCTCTTAGCTGGTCCAGATCGGGGAGAGGCCAAGAGCACTGCCCTGAAATAGAGTGACCGACAGAAGGAACGCCAAGGCTGCGCAGCATCTACAGGGGGACAGTCAATGTGTCTACCAAGTCCTTTCCTGTAGGACAGTTGGAGCGGCTGAAGGGCCACGTGGATGTTTGAGGCGGGCAGTGCTCGGAGGGGTTGGACGATGATGCAGGCGATATAAGGTGATGCAGAGCTTTACCAAGGCTCTGGGTAGGGTGTTCATTAATCCACCACCTTCTTCTTGAACCTGCCCCCTGAGTCAGGGCCTCAGCGTGTTCTGATGGCAGGGGAGTAGCGGCCACCTGCACACCAAAACCCACACCTCTCAGCCCCTCTCTGCGTGGGTGGACTCCCCACCACCTAGCCGTGTCCTCGGGATCAGGCTGTGGAAGGTTCATTCCCCACGCAGTCCCAGTGTGTGGACCAGGGGTGCTGGAGGCTCCCGGCCGGAGAGGCACCTCTGCGAAGCAGGGGGCCAGGCTCATGGCAGGTGTGTTTTCTCTGCAGGCCCAGGCGCCGTCAGCGAAGTGAGCAACGGGACGTCGTCGAGGAGGGCGGGCTGCCTCTGGCTGCTTCCTCTCCTGGTCTTGCACCTGCTCCTCAAATTTTGATGTGAGAGCCGCATCCCCGACGGGGAGGAGCCGCCGCACCGTCAGCACGTCAGCGATGGCGACCGACAGCATCAAGGCGAGCACCCCTGTTCTAAAGCAGACACGATCCCACCAAATTCAGACAACAGAGCCGAAGGGGACACAGATTCGAGGGAGGGGAACCAAGAATGCTCTGGGAAAACAAATTGAACGAGGACACTGGAAATCACCATGCAGATACCTAGGTACAGCCGAGTTTTCTTTCTTTTTCCAAATGGGAAGAACGCCCGTGGCTCTGGACCCACCCGTAAACTGCATGGCGTGACCTCTGTTACCAGGCGGGCTGGGGCTCAGCCGCTCTGCCCACCACAGTGCCCCCCCACCAAGGAAAATTCTGGAGTTCGGCCACCCCAAATTCAATCATTCCGTAGAGAAGAACTCAGAGGGAGGCGAGTGGGCCCGTTCCTGGAATGTGTCCCTATTTTGTGTGTGTGATGAAATGCAGCATCAAAAAGATAAATAAAAAGGAAAAAACAAGACAGTCTGACAGCTACAACAATCCCACAATCAACAGTCACAAAAGATATTCTTAAACGTTCTTTTTTTTCGTTTGTTTTTCATTTTACTACAAGGACATCATGGATAATAAGGGATTCTGATTCATTATTAATTTTATTAATTATATTTTCTGATATGAGTCTTAAACTTAGTGCAAAAACAAGACAAAACTAAAAAAAAATAAGTACAGAGAGGAAAGGGGTGAAGGGAAGTGTGTTTGTTCAAGGTTAGACGTGAATAGTGTACTTCTTACCTAGGTTTACAACTGGTGGACCGCACACCAGGCTAATCACCTGGTGAGGATTTGGCAAATCCACCAAAAAAAAAAAAAAGAAAAACCACATACAATTTAACCAACATCTCCACCAGCGCTACAGATTTCTTATTCTGTGCATTTAATGCAGACAATACTATGCTTCTACATGCTGTTTAGAAACAGAAGGGTGACCTGCACTGTATCTTGAGTTTGCTGACAATGCTTCTTTTGATGACATATATTATACAGTATATATATATACATATATTTTTTTTGTTAGAGTTCTAGCCATTTCCTTTCTCAGCAGGGTCCTTTCTCAAACATTACTGCATGCTGTATATGGCGTTAGCTGTGTGTTGCTCTTCTAAAAGATGATAGAGTTTACTGGTAATTGTGTAATCAACTCCTGCCTTTTTATTTTCTTGGGTTATTCACATGTCAGAGACATTTCTAAAACGTGACAAGAGAAACAAAACGCTAACACCAGGCGCAGCATCTTTTCCAGGGGCGGCTCTCGGACGCAAGGGCTCATGCGGGAGGCCCAGCTTCTCCAGCAAGAGCCCCGGGTGTGGACAGACAGACAGCAAGCTGCCGAACCAACTCCGCAGTCAGTAACCACTCGCTTTAGCCCGTCATGGGAATCTAGGATGCCTTTGTGACCGCTGGAGAATCGAATCCTCTTGGTTTATTTTATTTAATTTCCCACCTTCGTGTGCGTGTGTATGAAAGAGAAGAAAAGGCAGTTTTTAGGTAAACTTTTCTTCGTCCCCCGAAGTCTGGGAACCGGAGGGGCCTCGGGGAGGGGTCCTGATGTGGTGAGGGGAGGTGGGATTGGGGGCTGGGAGGGAAGGGTTGTCTCTGACTTGACATTAAAAAGTGTTCCATGTCCCTCTTCACCTGGTGTGGTACCTCATTGTCACGCAGGGGGTGTGGGGGAGCAGAGCCCGCCTGGCTCAGGCGTGAAGGTGGGGTTGGCCTCCTGACTCAGGCTCGCTGGCCCCCTCTGGGGTGGAGTGGGGCTCCCCATGGCGTGGCTCTGACCGCAGGCAGGGGTTCGGGAAAACACTCCTCCATTACAAGCGGGGGACGTGAGGCTCTGGCGACTGCACCTCCAGTGCCTTCAGGAGGACCTGCTGTGTCCACAGCTCCCCTGTAACCCAGACGGCAGGTCCAGGGACAGCTTTCACACATGATTGCTTCCGGGTGCAGAGTGCAGCCATCGCCCCCCAAACCCCTGAAACATTGTGCGTGAGTACTGACACATCCCAAGCCCCATCGGCCAGCGTGTCGGGGACTTTCCACCCAAGCCTGCCTTCCAAACCTTGCCTCTAGCGACAAATTAAGAGAAAAGGTAGGTGTTAATGCAGAATCGTTTTCAAATAAGTCTAACCTGTTCTGATTCTGGGACTTCAATAAGCAGCTGAAGAGTCGCTGAAAGGCAGAAATGAGGTCAGAGCTGAACCATGCAGGGATTACTGTGCTGTGGCGTCCTTGGGGGCCAGTCCCACCCGAGAGAAGGAGGAAGTGTCGGAAAGCAGTCGTTTCATTTCCAGCAGCTCCTGGCAGCTTTGAGAAAACTTGTTGACTTCATGTTTCTTTTTTTTAAAAAAATCTTTTCTTTTTCATATTCGTTCCCACTGGTTTATCACAGGATCTTCAATACAGTTCCGTGTGCTCTGCAGTAGGACCTTGTTTATCCATTCTAAATGTAACACAAACACACAGTCCACCCCTCTCCCACCCACCCCGCTTCATGTTTCTTTGCACCTTTTCTGACCTCCCACCTCCACCACCAGGTGTCAGGTTCTCCTGCTTCCTCCTGGTAGCGTGGCCTGAAAAAGTCTGACCAAGCCTCACAGATCCAGGCTGGCCCCGCGGTCATTCTACCCCATGTCTCAAAACTGCGAAAGGCAAGGGGCTGTCTCCTTACAGTGAGAGTGGGTGAGATATACTAGCTTCTGTGTGACCAGAGCTTCTGTAGACACGGAGGACCAGAGGAATTCCATGCAGATTGTGCCTCACAGGAATAGAGCAGGAAAAAGGCAGATAATTTCCATACTTCTCAACTTGAGCCCAGAACTGCTCTGAATAAAACGTACCAGGGCACCTTGCAGACAGTCTCCTCAGACCTTGCTGGGATGAGAGCACAGCGTGACGGGTAACTTCCACGTGATTCAGAGCTTTCTCATTCAGATTTACTAAGCTTGATTTACTTCACCCATCACCATCCTCCCAGGAAGGACTCTATCTGTCACGACCAGCTCTGTAAAGTGACACCAATGAGGAAGGCTTCATTTACCTATTTGCCATTTCCATAGCCCTTCCTGTCTCGAGGCTCTTTAGAGCTGTGGTCATTCCCGAGCGTGTGTCTGGTAGAACCAGCTTTGCTGTGACCTCTGGACTCGGCAGCTGGGAGAGCTCCCTGCCCTGCCTCCAGAGGGTTTCTTCTCTTCTTCTGTTTAGTGTAACACATAAGCCATGAGCTGCTGAATTCCAGTCTTTTTTAAAGGGTGCCTACGAGGTAGGGCCTCCAGCCAGGCTCAGAGTTCAGTCCAGGAGGACGTGGTTTTGATAGGAGCTCATGGGGTGATTCCCTGGCTTCTCTTCTCAGGAAAGAAGCTTGGAAAGACAGTGCTCACTAGAGCAAGTAAAGAATGATCCTGAATAGCCTGTGTGGGTGTTTTTCACGGTGCAGGTGCCAATGGACGACCGCCACTGCCTGCCTGGATTTCAGACATACAGGACCTCTTTGGAACTCAAGTTGTGGTCATGCTTCAGGATTCAGGCACCACCTCTAACCTTAGGTTGTCCTTTGGGGAAACCATGGTTGTGGTTTTGCAGATTTTATCCTATAATAGTGTGTGTGTGTTGGGGGAGCTGCTACTAGTGGGGTTCAAACCCTAAACGCTCTAACCACACGCTCGCAGAAAATCCCATTCATCTTCTTTCAACAGAATATCTGCTCCTTTCCAATCTCACAAGTGCGGCTGCTCTTGAGTTCCTGCCGTGAACTCTCTCCGCATCAATGCTTCTACACAATCGTTTTAGATGTCTAACGTGTTATAGAACTGGTCCAAGGATGTCCGTCTGCCAAATGGGACGTGCTGAGCTGGAGCTGTCTTTGCCATCAGTGAGCCACAAATGTTTGCTTCTGTTGCTAGGGTGATGATAATGATGGTGATGATGAAACACAGTTGTTCTTCAGGCTGGAGAGAAGTTGGAAAGTGAATGGACCCTGGAATCTGATGGAGGTCCAGGACACTTCACTAGACGGACCCTGTCTTAACCTTGTACCTCTGGACCTTGAATTCAGAAGGGAAAACAGTCTCACTAATTAGTCCCAAGAAGGTACCTCTACTGTGTGGGTTTGTTTAGTAAAACTGTATCATCTGGGAACAGCAAATTGCCCCAGTTTTGTTTTGTTTTTTAATACTTATGAGGGTAAGCATTTGAGGAACTTTTCATTAGAGCAGAGAAGTCTCTGCAGGTAGATAGAAGTGGCTGAGGGGTGAGGTCTGCCTGCCGGCTGCTCTGATTCTGCTCACCGAGTGCATGAGCACACGGCAGTCACCAAACAGCTGAGACTCGAGAGGGTCTGTATCTGTGTGAAGCACCAATACTACCCCTCTCAAGCATGTTTTAATGTTTATTTTTTTTATTTTTTTAAATATTTATTTCGTCCCGCTGGATCTTAGTTGTAGCATGCACTCTCCTTTTACTGCAGCATGTGGAATCTAGTTCCCTGACCAGGGATGGAACCCAGGCACCCTGCATTGGGAGCACAGGGTCTTAGCCACTGGACCACCAGGGAAGTTGCTTAACATTTATCTTAAACAAAACCCCAGAACTAATTTGGTTGAGAGCTTACTCCTTGGGCTTGCTCCATGGAAGCATCTCCTTTGTCATTCCCATTGTGGCTGAGTCAGGCTGTCCAAGAGCATGGGTGCTCACCCCTCTCGCCTCCTAATTCCAGCCATATTTCCATGAGTGCCCAACTCCGTCTTCCTCCAAGACAATACATGCAAGTCAATATCGCTGTGATGTATCAGTAACAGAGATCTGAAATCTCTGCCCCTTCATCCTCATGCGCCTCCCACAACTCCCATCTTCTCGCAGCAGGTCCATATCATGGGACGAGAACAACCTGGCTTTCTGCAAAAAGACTACTCCTAATTTCTGAGCATTAAGTGAAGGTTATTTCTTATAG